CCCCTCCTTTTTTTTCCTTCTTAGCTTTTTACATTAGTTAGATGTTGTTTCTCCTACCCTTTTAGAAAATAAAACACTATGTTTATTGTCATTCTGTCTGCCTGTGTTTGTTGCTGCTGTCGTCGTCGTCGTTGTTGTTGTTGTTGTTGTTGTTTTTGCTGCTGTTGTTGTTGTTGTTGTTGTTGTTGTTGTTGTTGTTCCAAGCCTGGTTTCTATGTCTTGTTCCATTTCCTGTTCTCCCTTCTTCTCTTGCTTTCAACTTTTGCTTCCAGGGTGTTTCTAGAAAGACTCGAGGCGCTGGATATGCCTAAAGTACTTCAGTTTCAGTTCAGTTTCATTACTTTCTGGAGAAATGTTGGCATTTCTGTCCACCTATTCTTCATAGCAATCCTTCATTTGTTTGTTTTTCTGTGTCCAAGATATTTTTAGGGTTCTGCTATAACATTTCATTTCGAAAGCTGGAGTCTTTTTGGTCTCTGTGTTCTTTGATAGGCTTTTTATTAATTTTTCTAGTCATTTCATTTTCATTGCCATCTACATCTAAAGTCTCTTAAATGTATTCGTTATATTGCCAGCTTGTCAATCATCCTTTCTTGAGTCATGTTCTACTTCCAGCATTATTCTTTCTGTATATATTAAGTGTAAACAAAAACCAAGGTCATAACAAAATCAATTCGTAGATGGGGAGAGAATCGATTCAAATAATTTCGGGGATCAATTGCAAACGGCAGTTGAAGTGAAAAAGAAACAAGTATAAGGACAGCAAATGCAAAACTAAGATTAAGCCAAATGCACAAACTATATTTACATCCAGTCAATTATCTCTACCTTTAAGAAACAAATTGCCATTCTTTAAGAGGGCTCTAGACCTGCACTTTAACAAAAGTTCAGCGTTTGAGATGTGGTGCTATCGCAGATGGTCAGGATTAGTTGGAAAGCAAAAAAGGCAAACAATGAGGTGGGTCAGATTCTCCAAACAAGACAAAGACAGTTCAATTCTCTTCTGTTCTTGGTTTTTCCACCTTATTCACTAGCACACAGCAATGGGAAGGAAAACAATCTCATACATTAAAATCAGCCTTTAAGGCGTAGATTTTGAATAAGATTGTAAAGGTAATTGAATTTCTATTCATGGAATTGTCATATTATTACATATGATTTGCTTTTTTAAAGCTTCACATTGATATGATAAGAAGAAGTCAAGATTTAGTACAGCCTTGAACATCTATCAGCTGTTCTTTTGACCGCCCAGGGTCACCTGCGGTTATTCCAAAATGATAGGAAGCGATAAAATAACCCTTAAGCAAAAATAGTAACAACGCAAAGTTAGTCAGAAATGATAAAATATTGCTAAAGGCACAAAGTATAGTGAAAAAATTATTATGTTAATGATATTCGCCCAAACATTTTAAAAATATGTTTTAAGTGAATAATTTTCAAGCCTCTTAAGCCGTCGTTCCATATCGAACGATATATTTAGAGAACGGAAAAGAGTTAAGAGAATGAAAAGTTAAAAAAACAACAACAACCCTACAAAAATACTTTGGTCATATGAAACGCCCCCTGACCATTATGAAGGAAATACTTGAAGGCAAGATGTAGTGTAAAATGGCTTAGAGTGGATAACGAACAATGTGGACCGATGGCATCAAGGCAAGGGCTGGCCTATGTATGACAGGCTGTATGTTATAATATTACGTTACCTCTGAGACAGACATAAAACTCCAGGTACTCAAGTATAACGTAATGCTGTTGCTGTAGAGATGTGGTGATAGTACACATCCTTGTCTCAGGCCTTTTATAACAGGAAACCACTCTGAAACTCCGCATTCAAGCTGTACAGCTGATTGTTGCCCTTCATAGGGTTTTGGTCAGTTCAGTGATGGGTGGGCTTCTGCCTTTTCCGTAATCCTCTTTGTGGCTTCACTTTGCCACCTCTCTACACATCCTCTCTGTATCCCCTCTGTATATCCCCTATGATAATAATAATAATGAAGATCATTTCTATAACGCCCACTCCCGTGTAAACACAGCTCTAGGCGCTTTACATAAATGTATGTACAAACAATATTCACGCA